CACTAATGTGGGATTCACTAGAGTATAATTCGTTGTTTCTTCTCTACTACCCGTCTTGAAAAGTGGAACCACATTTCCTGTCCTCTAGTCCTCTGGCATTTCCCCTATGGCCAGATATGAATGCAAAATCTGCGTAAGAACATAGGATACAGAACATAGAACAGTACAGCACAGTACAGGCCCTTCGGCCCACAATGTTGTGCTGACCTATTATCCTACTAAGATCAATCTACCCTGCGTACCATACATACCCAACATAAGGGCAGCTGTGATTTCCTCCCTTGTCTCCCTCATCAGCCTGGGATACAAATCATCCAGACCAGGGGATTTGTCCACTTTTAAGCCTGTCATAACCTCCAATAACTCCCCACTCCCTATATTAACCCGCTCAAGAACCTCACAGTGCACCTTGTTGAATTCTGTACTTATATTCTTCATCAAAAAAGGAGAGAAAGCAATTTTTAAAAAAAAATGTTAGCCTGACTTCATTTATCAAGAAGTTGCAGGTACCTATTAATAAAGACATCTTTAACAACATGCTTGGAAAATCATACTAGGAGCAGCCAAAGTGAACATATGGCAAGATCAGAAAAATGAGGTTTTTTGAAGTCGAGAAAACAAAATCCAATTTTCCACTTAAGGTTTGAACAGCAAGATTAGAATCTTACTAGTAAACAGCAAGAGGCCCATTTGTTGACATTTATATCTCATTAGTTCCTAATCTTGCCTCATTTTTTGAAATTTTCTAGTCTCTCATGTATCAGAGAGATGTCTGACAGCTCCAGGCTTCCCCTTGCTTCCCTGGGCCTTTGAGCAGTCCCCAGCATTCTGGAGTATGCTTCCTGGGCAGTGACTGCCTGCACTTTCCTGTCCACAGAAACTGACATTGGACCTATACCAGTCTTACTACATCATGGCACATTACCAACTCACTTAGAATACAGTTCTCCGCTTCAGTTCTGCAATATGGAATGCACTGTCACTGTGCATTGTTAATATTGCTGCCAGGTCACTTCACAAACAGGGACAGGCATCCATCTCAAACATTGAAGTAGTACGTACTTTAGGGCTCTCTGCTGGCTTTCTTAGCACTCACTCACTCCGTGCCTACTTGGATGCTCACACCATGTCTACCTGGTTTTGCTTTCCTTTTTTGCAATTTGTCACATCATTCAAAACTTAAAGGCACACTGTACTTCTGTGTTGCCTTGCTATTTAGCTCAGATACAAAACCCAGACATCTTGTCACAGTTGTCAGCAGTGATCAGTAAAAGAGTTGAAAGTGTTGCTGCATGGCACCATATTACATCCATGTCACACATATACCACTTGCCAGCAACTTAAGTGACAAACACATTGCATGTGCTTCCACCAAATGGCATTGACTCAAAGTTTAAGGGAAGTAGTCTTTGCTCAAGTCAAGGATGTCTCAGCAAGTTATGCCAGAGTCCAGCATTCAATCTCAGTTTAGGGGATTGAAAATGGTCAGTTAGCTGCTGATAGCTAGAGTCAAGGGTTCTGCATCACTACAGGGACTGGGCCACAATCAGTCCTGCAGATCCAATACAATCAGTCAGGGAATTCACTGTAAATCAATTAGGGAAACTGCACAGAGATCAGCCAGGGGTCTAATTCACTTGTCAGTCGAGTTGTTTGTCCAAGTTGGTCAAGTGCATGGGCCACACTCAGGCCTGTGAGTTTATTCACTGAAAGTCAAGTTACCAGGGACCACTGCTACGTTTGGGACGTTGAGGAAGTGGAGGATTAGTGGCAACATGCTGGGATGGAGGGGGGTAATAACTATGAGAACAGGCAACTCAACATCGGAGGGCGCAAGATGACAGTGTATTGAAGGATATGGGTTGAGGGGTTGGGGTGTTTGTCATTATGGGCACACCTAGCCAGGGTGGTGCTCGATTATTAGGCTCAGTCTATGACTCACTCTGCCAATATGCCTTATGTTGACTTCCATCCTCATCTGAGTCACAAAGGCACAATGGAAATGGAAAATGTTTATGATCATATGCAGAAAGGGCAGCATTTTTTTTTTTCTGTCTGAGCACATTGCTCACAAGTAGAACCAATCAGAGGCCCTTCATGGGGCAAATGTATTAATCAGGTGTTTACACCGTACAGGTTGAAGACGTCTATAATCATAGTCCCATGCATTCAACATGCATGCAGTGTCCAACTGTACAAATCCTGGTCACAAACAATTTTCACCATGTCATTGGTCACTACAGATTGATCATCGCCATCTCTGTGCAGCAGAAATGATCCCTGGCAACCTTTAAAGTGGCACTGTTGGCTGCAATTCACAAAGGTATTCTAAGGGCATATAGGTTACTCAAAGGCATGGAACTGAATTAATTTCACTCTGAACTATAAATATTCATCAACAATTTATATGCAATATTGGATTTCTTCAGTGATGTGAGGGTTGAGAGTGGGGGAATAAGACTTTAACAATTCTGACATACTTACAATCTCCTACTGTATTTGCACGGTATGACTTATATTGCATTTATCAGAACAAGGTCCCTTATGTCAAAAATCAATACAGAGGCATTCTGTGGTTCTCTTTGTCAGAATCCACCACAGAGGATTATAGTAAATTATCATTTGTATGTGATGCAAATGCTGACTGCCAACATTACAAAGAACCCGTTCAGTTTCTAATATTCCCTATACAGATTCATTGGAACCACAGCTAATGAATACAGGCACAGCAGGGGTCATCATTATTGTGGCTGTGGTGCTATGGAAGCATAGAGAAACTGAGGTAGAACAGATGCTTCAGCAAGCAAAACCAGCATTAACCTCCAGCAACTGCCCACAGTCTCCATGTGAAGAATTGGCAGCTGAAGATTTCCTCAGCATGCAGAGGAGGATGCCCAGAGTCGATCATCCACGATGCCATTCCTCCAGATAAGTGAGACTATTGCCATTAAAGACTGCAAATGTCACAGAATCCACAGAATCCCTACAGTGTGGAAACAGGCCACACCAATCCTCTGAAGAGCATCCCACCCAGATCCAGCCACCTGACCCTATCTCTGTAACCCTGCATTTCCCATGACTAATCCACCTATACTGCACATCCCTAGACACTATGGGCAATTGAGCATGTCCACCTAGCCTGCACATCTTTGGACTGTGCGAGGAAACCGGGGCACCCAGAGGAAACCCATACAGACATGGAGAGAATGTGCAAGCTCCACACAGACAGTCGTCCAAGGGTGGTATCAAACCTGGGTCCCCAGCGCTGTGAGGCAGCAGTGCCAACAACTGAGCCACCATGCTGCCATCAGGACACCAGATCTATACCATCTGCTGTCAAACTTGAGGGATGGTCGGCTGTCCTATCCTAATGGGTGTTAAGATGACGGCGTCGCAAAAATTTTTATAGAACAGGCTGTTTCCAAGGCACAACTGTGGACCTGTGTGTGATCTCCCAATCCTTGACCCACAAGGCTGTTACCAATGAAGTTGTGCCAGGTCACACCATTTCACCTTGTTTTCCAATGACAAGATCAGTGCTGCAGCACAGGCAGTAGACTTGCCAACAGCGCGGGCTTCCTGCCAAGTACAGGGCAATACAGACTGCACTCACATTGCTCTGAGTGCACCATATGATAAAACAGAGACTTCACGAACAGGAAAAGGTTTCCATTCCATTAATATATAGGTCATCTGTGACAATCAGTACTACATATTAGAAGTCTGTGCCAGATACCTTCAAAACTGCTATGATACCGATATTCTTGAGCACTCTCATGTTCTGGCTAATTGACACCCGGGTTGGACAGATGTGAGCTAGGTTCAGTTATCATTCATTGACGTAAATTAATTGTTTCTTGAAAGGCAGGAAGTACCAGTTTGTTTTCTGAAGCAAATGCAGCATTTTTGTTTGTGTTTTTTTTCTCTTTTGTTGTTGTCCAATGAAAGTTAATGATTTCAATTTTTTGAAGGTTTTCCAGCAATATGATGTTCCTACATTGAAAAATGACAAGATGTTATGCCACGCTGTGTGTTAGGAAAAGAGAAATACTCTCTTACACAGGATTCCAACATGGTACGGCTTGTGCAGTGTGATTCGTAAAGCTGCAGCTGTAGTCTGATCGTGTCGATTAGACAGGCAATGATGTCAAATTGTAAATTTGTAAATTTACATTCGTAAATTATTGCTTTTTCATTTCCCTCCTTTATGTGTACTCAGAAGGCAGTTCCTGTCTAGCAGCACTTGTCGTGGTGCACAGATGAGCTTTATACATATGGTCCCAGCAATAGCAAGTACTGCTGCTATCGGTGAACTCAAGTTAGTGAAAACATTCTGCCATAAAGGTTTGGTAGAGATATAATAAGGTAAACAGCATAAATTGCATGGGAAGTTTGTCGGGCCCACTGATGGAACCCTTCCATGAAACTTGATTGGTATATAAGATAACCTTAGAAAGCTCAGCAGTATATTAGAAAAAGCACTTGTTGATGAAGGCCAGGTGATACAGTGATATATAGACAATAGGTGATATAAGTGCAATAAATATAGAGTTGCTGAGTGGCACTCCTGGAACAGGGAGGCTCATGTGGAAAAAAGTTAACATACTCACTCAGTAGAAATTTCTTTTTTATGTGAATAGCTAAGTCATCATTTTATTCCAATACCCCAAAGTCAAAGACTACACACAAAGATGGTAAGTATAAAGTGTGCCTGTCAATTATGAAACGTACATATTAAGCACATGGTGGATGAGTGAGAAAGAAATTGATGGAAACAGAAAACAGAATAAACTGTCAGTTCATATTCATATGCTGAAGAAATAATTATTCCACCAGACCATAAATGAGCTTAGCAGTACAGAGATTGTTTATCCATGAAAGTTTCCTCCCAGTCCAAAAAGATGTGGGTGTCACTATTTTGTCAGTCCAAATACCATATTCACTTCTGTATGGCTCACCATATTCAAACTGGTGAAAATAATTTGTATGCATATGCCTACCTGCAGATGTCTGTTTAAACTTTTCGCTTTTCTTCTTCCTCCATTTCCATGGTTTAAACAGCCTCCCTAATGATGCAAACTTGCTTCTTCTCCTGATGGGTGGTGTATGAGTACCTGGGACCAGTGACTCTGAACGCATTGCAGCCAGCCTTTCTACTTCTTCAGCTGGATTGAGGAACAAAAGAGAAAGCTGAGCAATTTATGTCAGAGTGTTTAGCGAGGTTATTTACCATCACTCCCATGTCATTAATGTTTCAACTGTAAATTATTATTTGGAATTTCCCAATAAAGTTAGCTTCCTACAACATGAAACAAATTCCATCATGGTTATTACAAGTCCACAGTGAACTTTGTCTATCTAGAGCTCACTTGTAATCTGTCACTTTTTCTATAGACTGCCTTCCTCCCTCCCTGCTCATCTTTCAATCTCTCCATAAGGTATATTGCTCTCTGTATTAGTCTATGTGCTTGAGAGACAGGCAAAAGGCAGATTGAGTGTCATTATTTAAGATGTCACTGCATTTTCATTCTATTATTTCTTTTTATCCATAACTGTAATGATTTTTGTTTCTGGTTGCCAAGAACTGTACATCTTACAAGTATCAGCCTTCATCATTTCAGAGAAAAATAACACGAGTTTTTCTAGCCTCTCCTTACAGCTGATACCCTCTAATCCACGCAGCATCCTAGTAAACCTCCACTGCACCCTCTTCCAAGCCTCCACATCCTTCCCATAATGTGGTGACCAGAATTGAATGCAATGCTTTAAGTGTGGCCGAACCAAAGTCTTATAAAGCCGCAACATGACATCCTGACTCTTGTACTCAATTCCCCGACTAATAAAGGCAAGCATGCCATACACCTTCTTTACCACCCTATCTATTTGCGTGGCCATGATTTTTATCCAAAGAATCATTAAATGCCCTCTTGAATGCCTCCATACAACCTGCATCTACCAAATTTCCAAGCAGTGAATTTGATACCCTAACTATTCACTGAGTGACAAAGTCTTTAATCACTTCACCCTAGCTTCTCACTTTAAATCCTTCTCATCTTGATCTAGTTTCTTTTTTGAGTGGAAACAGTTTCTCCCTATGTAATCCATACGCTCCATTTATGATTTTGGAAACCTCTATCAGATCTTGTCTGAGCCTTCTTCTCAGGGGGAACAATATTAAATTCTTCAATCTGTTGTCATAATTGAAGTTCTTTGTCCCTGAACCATTCTTGTAAACTGCTTCTACACTCTTTCCAAATTGATTACATCCTTCCTATAATGTGGCACCCAGACCCACACACAATACTCCAGTTGAGGTCTAACAAGTATCTTATGCAAGTTCAACATCATTTCTTTGCCTTTTGTACTCTATGACCCTAAGCCACATTGCAGAGGAATTTTTTAACGGTAATTGATAAAGGATTATTTTTAATGGTAATGGTAATTTTATTTGGTAATTTAAATGGTAATTGTTGCTCTGCCTGTCAAGTCTCTGGGTCAGTTATTATAGAAAGAAACAGATCTCAATCCATCGCACCCTTGTTCTTGGATGCACTCTTTCAAGAAACAAAGTCGGTGTGAGTTAATGGGAGTGTGCAAATATAAGAGAGGTAGTGGTTTTAAGGAGTATCATGGAAATATTTATAGTTTGGCAAAAACCATTAAAATTATTTTAAAAATCTAATTTGAATAACATCGACTTTTTATTTATCACACTGAAATGTGTAAGACCACAATTCATTTTTTTGTATCCATTCACGGGATGAGGGTGTTACTGGCTAGGCAGCATTTATTGCCCATCGGGAGATTTCCCATTCTATCGTGTCTTGAGAACATGCATCATGCCAATTTGTCCAGGCAAAGTGAAGAAGGAAAGGGACAGCAATAGATTTGTATGTGTAGCCCATGCAGCCGCACTGAGATTTCTGGGATTTGTTAAAATTCACATAACTTGAGTGTTGTGGTGATCAAGGGGCAGAAAGTGCTGATGCTGTTTATCAGTGGTAATGCTCCTATTGCATCTGTTTGTTGCTACTTTAGCAGTTGAATTGAATTGAATTAGCTTTACTGTCACATGTACTCAAATGAGTAGTGAATAGTGTACAAGTCACCACTTAACGGCCATTTTAGGTAGAATAGTCCCGAGCTTCCTCAGTTACAGATCTCAGAAAAATGGAGAAGTAAAAAGTCCAGCATTGCAGATTTTAGGAATGAATTATAAAATGGAGAAAAAAAATGTTCAGAATAATAGTCTTCCAACCCAGTCCATGCTGGCACCTAGACTCCAGGCTGCGCCAGGCTTCACCTTAGGGTTCACGAGCCTGGACTCACCTCAAGAGCGGAAGTCTACGCTGAGGCCATGCCAGGCCAAAAGACTGCCCCACCAGAGCTGAGAGACTGCCATGCTGGGCCACTGGGAGATTGCCTCGCCAGGAACAGAAAACTCAATGCTGGGCCAGCAGACCATCATGCTGGGCCGAGAGACTGCTAGGCTGGGCCTCTGGGAAATCTTATATTCTGTTCTTGTTAAATGCGAGGAATGGGGGTTGGGGACAGGTGAAGTGCGTTGGTGGTTAGAATTGATTCAGAGTAGGCAAAATGCACCAATGCATTATAAGAATTAATGGAGTCAGCTAGGAGGAACTTTTTCTTAACAGGTTAACACTTATTACAATATTAAAGTATACCAATATCTAGAAAGGAAGGAGGCAGGTCAGTGTTATCAGGTTGAGGCTGTTTGCCAAAATTAATTCAGACCCGTTTACGGGTGCTACTCATTTTGAAAAAGGCTTTCAACCAAAATTCCTCAATCCACTTCACCAAAACAGATTGGACTAAAAGTTAGATAATGCTAGATAGCAGGCACAGGGAATCTGATTATCCTGCATCTAATGGAAGTGACGGATCAGCATCTAAGTTTTGTGCAGGGCAGCTGCAATCAAGGAGCTGGACGCCTCCCCATGCAGTAGGACATAGCTCTACCACTGTGAAAATGCTGAAAAATCACTCTAAATTGGGGCTTGATTATTTAAATTACCTGAATGCGGCAATCTGTTTTCAAAGCAACTCCTTAGAAACCTCCCTCATGATAGGAATGTGTCAGGAATGACATCCATGTCACCCCCTGGTTGCTTGATATGTCCTACTTCCACTCCTGCCATTAAAAGAGCTGGACAAATTCACTGTAAAATTGAAAGGGGACCAAGGTTGGGAAATAAATATTCTGAAGTATACAACATTTCAAAAAAGACAGGTAGAACAGAAAAGGAGGAGAGATAGAAAAGGATGACATAAGGACACCTGTGTGAGAAAGGATTTTGGCTCAAAATTCAGTAAGTACAATCAGTAATGGTAGAAATTAGGAATATTTAGGGCAAATAATATTGATTGTGGTAGATTTTAGGCATCATCAAAATAGTTTTAACATTGAAGACTGCATTGAGCAATAAATCATTGGAATATGTAACAAAAAGATAATTTAACAATCATGGAGATCATTAATCTTCGTACAAGTTGGAGAAATTCTATTAGCCAAGGTAGTCTTGAAGATGAGTTCACAGGATACTTTTACAACAGTTTCCAGGAACAATAGATTGTAGAACCAAGAGAAAAAGACTATTTTAGATCTGGCACTGTGTAATGAGGCTGAGGTAATCAGAAACCTTACAGAAAAAGATCCTGTGGGTAAAAGAGATCAAAATGCAATTGAATTGTATGTCAAGTCTGAGAGTGGCACATTTGACCCAGAAACAAAAATGTTAAACTTAAACAAATTTAATTACATAGGTATGAGGGGAGAGATAACTAACACAATTTGGGTAAATAGTTTGAAATGTATGATGAGATTTTAAAAAATCGCAAACATTTAAAGAATCAAAATTAAACTGCTCAACAAAAACTACATTCCATTTAAAAAAAACCTCAGCAAGAAAGATCCCCATGGTTTACAAGAGATTTGAAGAAAGAATATTTTAAAACTTGTGCACAGACTGGTGGGTGTCACTGGTTAGACCAACATTTATTGCCAATTCCTATTTGCCCTTGAGAAGCTGCTGGTGGGCTGCCTCCTTAAAACACTGCAGTCCATGTGGTGTAGTTGCATTCACAGGGCTATTAAGAAAGGGTGTTTAGGACTTTTACCCACCCACAATGAAGGAATAACAATGTATTCCATAACTCGATGTTGTGTGGCTTCAGGAAAAGCTGCAGGGTGGTTATGTTCCCTTGAACTTGTCCTTCCAGGTAGTAAAGGTCATCTATTTGGAAGATGCTGTTGAAGGAGGCTGGGTAAATTGCAGTGTATTTACAGCTGATACACACAACTGGTACAGTGAATTGGTAGAGGAAGGAGTGAATGTTAAATATGAAATGTAACCCAGACTGTTGTGGGAGGCAAGAAAGGAGATATAAGGGATTTGGCTGTAATTTTCGAATCCTCTCTAGCCACAGATGACGTGTCAGAGGGCTGACGAACTGCTGGCATTTTTCCATTATTAAACGAGCAAAAAGGATAGAACAGGAAATTATAGGCATGTTAGTCTAATGTCTGTGAATATATCTGAATATATCTGCACTTGGTGAGATAAAGATCAATCAGGAATAGAGAGAATGGATTTGTTAAGAAAAAGTCAATTTGGGAGGTTCTGTCTAAGGAGCCATGGAGAATTTCTGCAGTGCATCTTGTGTGCACTACCAACAGAATTTCACCAAGGCTCATCAGACAGCACCTTCCAAACCCATGACCATTTCCATTTAAAAGGACAAGGGCAGCAGATATGTGGGAACACCATCACCTGTAAGTGCTTATCCAAGCCACTCACCATCCAGACTGAATATATAACAGTATGCCTTCAGTGCTGCCAGTCAAAATCCTGAAACTCTAACCTAACTGCACTGTGAATTTACCTACACCAAATGGACTGCAGCAGTCCAAGACGGCAGCTCACCACTACCCCTCAAGGGCAATAAGTGCTGGCCCAGCCAGTGATCGCATCCCATGAGTGAATGGATAAAAAAGTCATTTCTGACAAATTTGATTGATTTTTTCGAGGACACAACCAGGGTGTTATTTAGGGTACTGCCCTTAATGAATAAAGGGTAAATTGCCATTAAGAATACATATGGGGACACAGAGGGAACATGGGGAGTTTGAGGGA